AAAATTTATAATTGATTTAAAAAATAATGTACATAAATATTTAATGTTAATTCCATATTGAAAAACCAAAAAATTATTATGGGATTGAGAAAGTTGTTTTAGAACTTATATTTTTTAGCTAGAGCTCTTGGTATACGAATAATCGATTAACCGGATAATCTATTTCAGTTGTTGGTAGTTTCGATTAACCTATTCATTCGTTGTCGACCATTCGAATTGTAATACAAAATGTTTCTACGAATGTAAGTTTATAAAAACTTTGCTGTATAGTAAGCAAAAAACAAAGGCTGCTCGGATTTCAAACAATATTCCTTTATTCAAATACTCGCAGCAGAGCAACTATTCGAATAGTCGTTCGACTTTGAATAATTTTAAGAGCTCTAGTTTGTACGTGTATTTTTAATTACAATATTTTACGATTATTATTTATTAAAAAATAATTTATTTTTCAATTCCAAACATCTTTAATTTAATGTTTAATATCAAAATTAGATTTATAGAAATTAAATTTAAAGTAATAAAGAAGGTATATAACTTTGAATCCAAAATTTGTGAATTAAAGAATGTGCAACCCTGAACAGTTTTCATTTGGCCATATCGTATATGGTAATAACTTATAGGTTTTTGCCCAAACGATTTGTTTCAAGTCATAACAAAAATCGGAGTTACGAATACACAAGTGTTACATATAAAAATTTGTTTTTTATTTTAACTCGTAAAAACAACTGCAGTAATTGCTTTGTGTCAAATCAAATCAATATCAATTCTTCTAAATTTTAAGCAATGACCAAATTGGTAACTTGAACCCTGTTCAAAAAAATCTTAAACACTGCTTTTTATTCTATTTTTCCGTTATGTTTAGCGCTACTAGCATCCAATTTATTTATATTGTTCTCGTTTTTTGCAAAACCATAAAATTCATACACAATTCTAACACAACATATAGATTAAAATCACTTAATGTCATCGTTGTCATTTACATCCAGCTTAATTAAAGTGAAAATAGCATATAAATGCATAATATTTAAAAACTGTTACTTTTTGCAGCTCTCAATCTACGTCGACCGCCAGTGGCATCTCCACATACGCCAGCTCCTTACGCCGCACAGCCACGACAAACTCCAGCGAGTTTCTCTGTCATCGTGAAACATTTTGTCTCACGCCGGAGGGTGAAGAGGAAGAACTTGACAACAATAACGAGAACGAAAACGAAAACGGCAGAGAGCACCAAACGGCCGATTGTTATAGTGCACAGCAGCTTGAGGTCAATCATAACACACCTGTTGATTGTGCAACCGGCGGTGTTGTAAGCACAATTGATTCGGTTCCAAAAGATTATTCGCTTACACCCGATCATTGTTTGCCAAACCAACAGTTGCTTTTACAAAATATCAAAGTTGAGCCACAAGACGACGAAAGAGAATATGGTGTGAATCCTCAAATTTCAACTGCGTACAATAACGTCTCCGTGTTCGCACTGCAGAAAGCAGAAATTGAGCACCACTTTCCTCTGCGCTGTGATCAGTTGGAGTTAACGGTGCAGCAACCGTTAGATGGCACACAATTCACTTCACCGGCTCAGTTGGTTCCTGCTAAAGTGAAAAAGTCGCATCACAAGAAGAAGAAGTCGCAAAAGAAACAGAAGAAGAAATCTCGCGAGCATAGACGTCGTCGCAAGCATGTCACCGATGCAAGTGACAACAACGGTAACAACGTTGACGCTTACAACACTGATCAAGTTCGTGCAATAACAAAAGACATAGAAGAAGTTGTAGCAGCAGACATAACACCAAAACAGAGTGCTAGCAGCAGTAGCAACAGTAGCAGTAATAGTAATACTAATAGCCAAAGCAGCAATAGCAACAACAAATCACCCAAAACACGGAGCAGTCACAATAGCAAAAATCAACACACGCGATCGCAAACGCAAAGTCACAGCAACGGCCAACATAGCAGCAACCACGTACTTACGCATATACCTTCGCTGAGTCCCGAGGATAAGGAGAACTTCTGTCGACAATTTACCGGTGACGCATCTGCAACTGGTGAATTACATGAATTGTCCGCCGCGGTCGCTGTTGATGCACTGGGTGATACTACAGGCGCTGTAGGCACTGGCACGCAGCACATAACAACCACCATCATAAAAAAAGAGGTGGGCGTAGGAGTTGTACATGATATGGCACCAACCAGCAATATGAAATTGCCCGGCAGACAAACCAACAACTCACTCTCATCGTTGACCGGCAACATATTCATACCGTCCGCTTTGCGTGAAGACGCAACAACAGTTGCGACAGTGGAGCGTGCAGAAAGCAAGTCTAAGTCATCGTCGGGATCAGGGAACAGTGCGGGTCACAAGAAGCATCATAAACATAGTGGGTCTGCATCGGTGTCGAATGCCTCCTCTGATGCCAGTGTGACGGCGGAGAAAAATCATGGCAGTGGCGGTGGTGGGCATAAGAAAAAAATGGCGGCAGCCGCAGCAGCAGCCGCGGCAGCGGTGGCGGCAACGACAACAACGTCTGTTAGTGCGAAGTCATCGTCGCAGAACTCGGATAAAAGCGCAGATGAGTAAGTGTCTCAAATGCACTAAATAAAAGTTCTTTAAAAAGCTTCTTAATCACTTTCATTCACACTAAAGTTTGAATTTTGTTTTGTTGTGTGTAACAAAATACACAAAAATTGTTTATGCATTCTCTTGCTGTTGCTTGTTTTGTGCAAATTCATGTCGCCAAAAAAACTACTATAAAAGATTATGCCCGCTTATTTTAGAGAGTATGCGAGTGTCAGGAATTATTAGACTTTTCCCAAGCATTCTAACTGGATCTTTATTCCTTCAAGGGCGGAGGTCGAGTCGGTAGCATTTCTCAAAATTGTGGGAGGAATACTTTCTGCAGCTACCCCGACCGTCCAGTTTGTATGGCAGCTATTCCTGCAGTGTGCCGATCTGAATAATTTCTTCAGAAATTGCATTATTAATGATAATCCATGCCCAATTTTGCGAAGAAAACTCGTCAAATGAAGAAGTTTTCCAAATAAGCACTACTTTGCGTATACACAGACACACAGATAGCCAGACGGACATTAATATTTATATTATTTTCTTTTCCAACAAAAATGTTGCATTTGCTCGGGCTGTCTAAATTACGTGTTCTTCCCTAAACATGTTTTCAGGTTCCATTGCTCATTTCTCAAAATGTTACCTCCAACCAGGCAATAGTGCAACATTTTCTACTCCCCAAAACGTAAGAGTGAGATCTGCCCCGTTTTTTTATGGTTTCTTAAAGTTGCAAAATATTTAATCAAGTTTTTTCACAAAGTGACATGATTATAAAAACGAAACAATACAACAGCTGATTTATAATAGGGTGCCATTTTTTTTTTGCCCTTTTATTATTTAAAATTGAGCATTTTTGCAGGGTGTTATGGTGTTGCTATATAATGAGCCAAAATTTTCGTCGAGAAAAGAAAACGCTTTAAGAAATATATTTTATGGGGTCTCTAACATTTTCTTATGGTCGGCAACCATAATATACCCTGCTCAGTGTATAAAAATGAATGAAACGAACAAATTTAACTGCTTCATATCATCTAAATCGACTTTGTTAAATAAGGGTTTTAATTAACGAACATTTTAGATTATTTAACACTGCATACTCTCTTTAATCCACATAATCCAACAATCATTCACTTAAATGTGCTACATGCTTTAACCTATAAATTTAGATGTGACAATTTCTCGATAAAAACATTGGTGACACAGGTTGCTGGCATAATAGCTTATTGTGCGTATGTATGTAAATACCTTCCTCATTTGTATCTCTGTATGTTTATGGGTTCATTGACGTCTAATTTATATATGTATGTATTTAACACAAATATTTCCAGTCCTTTCATTATAACTTTCAATTACTCGCTTCTAGTTTCTCTAAATATGTGCTTTTGTGCTTATGTATGTATGTATGTTAAACATGTTGTTTGTTATTCTTTTCATACAATTTTCTAAACAACATAATTTATTGAAGCCCATTGCGCATGCTTCTTGTTTTCTTATTATCATTTCCACGTAGTTGTTGTCGTAGGAAAATCGCGACTCTTATGCTCTCCAAAACGAAACCAGTTAATATTGTAAATATTTAACAAATCATTTCCCTTTTTCTTTTGCTTACACTCTCTTTCATTTTGTACCACACTCAATCATACATCATACATTATCCTTGCACGCACACATCCCAACACACAAAAATGCGTATTTGAAAATTTTCGTATCGCTGATTTGTAAATAATTTGTGAATATATCAATCATGCATTGGAATTCCCATCCTAATTACTGACATACTTAAAATATATGTACATATGTATATATGTAATTCATAATGAATTATGTATTACCATCTTAATTATTCTCCGATTTCATCATTATCATCAACGCAACCGCAAATGTAAACAACAACCACTACAAACATCATATATGGTTTTGTACACAAAACAAAAAAAAAAAATTGTAAATTGTAGAAATGTATTTAGTAAAAATCGCACCACCACCACAACCACCTCAAACACCAAAAACTCAACCTCAGCAACCATCACTACCACCACAACCTCAAGTACCAAAATCACTTCAAATCATACCGCCTCGACTGTGTTTAGAAATGCGTCGCATGGTGCAGAAGCAGCCGTAGTCACAACCACAACAGCAACAGCAGCAAAAACATTTGTGTCAACGTCGTCGTCAGGCGCCAATACAATGGCGACAGCAGTGACTAAATGCTATTTGAAACATGCTAACAATCAAAACCAAAGTTCTCACAAAACTACTAATCAAAATTATTTAACATCCCAATCCAATAATTGCTCCAATTCATCTGTCAATTACCATCAACATCATAATCATAATCAAAATCATCATCACATCCCAAACCATAACTATAACCATAATCATAACCGCTATCATCACCAATATACGCACCAAACGCACGCTTCCCATTTCCCAATGCATTCCTGTGCCACCAATCAATTGACATCAACATCGTTGAACGCCTTTAATTATGCTTCCAAAAATTCCACGAATACGAATTTTCTCAGTTTCACCGAAACGGAAGAAGTACTACAAATCGGTATGCACAAAGTGCTCGTCTATGTGAAGAACCACCGCGATGCCTGGCCTTTTATGGATCCCGTTGAGGAGGATATAGCGCCACGATATTATTCCATTATACGAAGGTGAGTTTGAAAATATTTTCGTAAAACAAGAAATAAGGTTAACTTCGCCAAACTTTTACAAAAAGAATTATAAAAAGATTTTTAACTTTTTTTTATCGGTCAATTTGTAAGAGGTGTGTTAAAAAAGTATCGCGAATTTTGTGTTTTTTTCAAAAATTATTTATTAATTCATGAATATCTATTTTGTCCCCTTCAAAGTAATCTCCATGATATATTATACACTTGTGCCAATGGTTTTTCCAATCTTCGAAGCACTTCAAAAAAGCATTTTTTTTATCTTCTTCAGCTCTTCTTTCGATGCCGTCTTTATCTCGTCAAGAGAAGCGTAACGTCGTCCTTTTATGGGCCTCTTCAGTTTAGGGAACAAGAAAAAGTCACAGGGGCTGCGGCATCATTAGTGTGTTGTTTTTGGCCAAAAAGTCGAGCACAAGCAACGATGTGTGAGCAGGGGCGTTATCGTGGCGTAAAAGCCAATTTTTGTCACGTCTTCTCGGCCTTCTGAGAACATTTTGTACCACCGATAAACGTTGCTTCGGTCCAAGGTAGCTTCTCCGTATGCCACAGTCAACATTCGGAATGGAAGGAACACAAAATTTGATACAGGTTCTTTGATCCATTTTTTTGAATAGGTAAAAATCGAAGACGATCTAAAACACGTGCAAGCAAAGCAGCTGTCAACAATTAAATGAACATTCAAAATGGCCGAGCTTGTTGTCGGCATAAGTGAGAGACATGAGTACCAACATAACGCTACAAAAAATTCGAATATACGTAACCAGCGAAAATTCAAAATTCGCGATACTTTTTGAACACATATCGTATGGTAGCTATATTCTAGAGAGGTCCGTTCTGAACACAGTCCTCAGGTATTGTAGCCATGCCTTGAATAATGATCTATGCCAAATTTCGTGAAGTTACGTTTTCAAATAAAAAAGTTTTCCATACAAAAACTTGAGTTTGGTCGGTCACATCGATCTTTTCTATAATAAACTAAAATAAATAAGATAACCGTTACAACAACAACAACATAATAAATTAAAATCAATTCTTTAATGTTTTTATTTACGTGTTTTTGGTACAGACCAATGGATCTCTTAAAGATGGAAGACAAACTGGACAGCGGCAAATACAATAAATTTAGTGACTTTCGCAATGATTTCAAATTGATTGTGAACAACTGTCGCCTCTACAATGGCCACAACAATGGTGAGTATCTGAGCAGCACAGAAGGAACAACGAATTATCAAATTTTTCTTTTAGAATACACCGAAATGGTAAATAACTTGCAAGAGGCGTTCGATAAGGCCACCAAAAAATACTTTGATAATTTATCAGACGATGAGGAGGACGATCCTAGTTTGGGTTATCCGGCAGCTGATTCCAAGATGAATGTCTTCCGTGAGAAATACTTCAATAAAAAGTCTTCGAAGGATGCAAGTAGCGATAGTCAGAGCATAACAACGGATGCGGAAAAAAATGCTGTGGATAAAACCATACAGAAAAAGAAAAGCAGCAAAAAACATGCGCACTCTCATTCCCATGAATCCGTAATACCGATAAATAAAGACAAATATGCTGATACTGCGGACGAAGACTTTGATGAAGGGAATGGTGGTGGTGGTCCAGAGCAACGTGGCACAAAGCGAAAGCGTAAAGAAAAGGATAAACGACGCAAGAAGAAATCGAAAACCAAAACAGCAATGGTGGAAAAACATGGCACAGATGATGAAGATGACCTCGAAATGGAGGAAAATGTGGCCAATGAAGATATACATGAAGATCTGGAACACGAACAGAGCACCAAAAAGAGTAAAAGTAAACAAACGAAAGACTCATCAAAAAAAGGAAAGAAAAGTAAAGATAAAAGCGAAAAATCCTCCAAATCAACAAATAAGTCTTCAAAAGGCAAAAGTGATAGTGGAAAATCAAAGAAGCTGGGTAAAAAAAGCAGTAAATCAAGAAGTCATAACTCTGAAGATTCGATTATGTCAGAGGACGAAGAGCTAGAGACCGCATTGGAGCCAGAGCCGAAACCACAGCCGGAGCTTGATGAGCAATCGGATATGGAGCCTGAGCCGGAAACTGAAGATGACGCCGATGATGATGATGATGAGAGTTTTGAATATCCTGCTGCTAAAAAGACCAAAAATAAGGCAAGCAAAGAGAGTAAATCGCATACTAAATCTAGTACTACCGCTGGGCATAAGAAAAAGACTACACCAAATAAATCAAATCAGAAGCAGTACACATCCAACAAGCATCAAAAGGGTAAATGCAAGAGCAGCAAATCGAAGGCAAAGTCTAAAACGGCACAAGCCAATAGCGATTGCGAGAGTGACAGTGAAACAGAGAAGCTGCTAAAGAAAAAATCAAATGTCAATAAGGATATGCCACCACCAGCCGTGGATGCGCTTGCCGCATCGGCTTCTGAGTTGGAGGAGGAGGTAATCGATGACGATGATGATTCGCGTTCGCGCAGTATGTCACCGTTTAAGGTGGATCTGCATAAGAAATATTCCAAAAGTGCACTTAACGATGATCTCTGCGATTTACTGACAACAGTCAAAAAAGTCCCCGGCAGCACAACGGCAATAAATTCGAACCAAAAGCATACCGCGGTTATTGACGATGAAGAGGATGATTTCAAGTCTTTATCTAGTCGTAGCTCAACTCCAGTACGTGGCTCCAGCGAGGAGCGCAAGACACAAAGCGCACCTAAGAAGAATGTACGTAGTACGAAAAAAGATGAGCCACAAAGTAAAAGTGGAGCGACAAATGCTAGTAAAAAGAACGCCGAAATTGATGAAGCGGCGGCGGCAGAGGCAGCAAAACAAGCCGAGTTGGAGATGTTGTTGCCTTTCTTGGATAAATATGAGCTGATTAAGTATCGACGTAGTCGAGCGAACAATTTGCAACAGACCGCAGCACAGAATACAGTTGAAGATGGCCAGAAAAGTGGGCGAGGTCGTTCGAAAGAAAGCGCTGCCAAGAAGAAGGACACAGCCAAAGCTGTAGAAAAATCAGTTGACAAGACCAACGGAGAAAATGCTAAGCCGCGCAAAAACAATAAGAAAGCCAAAAAGAACACGAGCGCAAAGGAAGTGAAAGAAATATCTGACACTGATGAAATCAAAACGCCGCCGAAAGAGGAGAAAAGTACGAAAACTGATGAGAAAACGTCTGCCAAAGCATTGAAGTTACCTATGAAAACCGAGATAGCAGTTGAAGAACACAATGATAACCCAGCGAGCAATAATATTTCTCAGAATAAAAGTGTTAAAAGTATAGAAAAGAAACCGGTTATAACGTCGGATAAACCGGCATCAAAACGAAAGGAGAAGCCTAAACCGGAACCAACAGCTCCTGTAGTACAAGAGGAAGAACCACCAAAAAAGACCACTGAAAAGCCAGTAGCACCAGTGCCGCCCAAAAAAGCTTTGCAAAAGAAGGCCGCCGCCAGTGCTGCTGCCAACAAGAAGGCTAACAATAAGCCAACCGGCAGCGCTGTGTCGAATAAGACGTCTTCCACCAACATTGAGGCACTAGATGTCGAAACTGAGCAGACGCTTAAAGACATCAATCGTTGGCTGGAGCATACGCCACGTTTTTCGGAGTTTAGCTCGGCAAGCAACTCGCCTTCACGCTACAATCTGGATGAGTTTGATGCAGCAATACCCGCCAAATTAGAACCAGCCGACTTTCGACGTCCAGTACCGATTGCGCCACCTAAAATCGATTTAGTGCCCACGAAGCTTGCAGATGTTCTAGTTGATTTAGTGGCCGATGGTGACGCAGTAGTTGCCGGTGGCCTTAAGAAAGAAGTGATCTCAGAGTTAATAACTACCGGCACCGTAGGTAGCGCGATAGGCGGCACAGCGAGCAGTGTAAGCTCGAGTTGTGGCACACCACCACATTCGGTAACGTCTGTCAATTCAGTTGGGAGCACGTCAGCAAATGCTTCATCCAATAACTCGGTTGTTACAGCACCATCGATATCATCAATTGCATCTGCATCCGCTGCGAATCAACCTACTTTGCTGATACCACCACCACCCGCCACAGTTGCGCCAGCCTTGACTGCTTTGGCTCCACCGAAACCCAAAGAGCCCAGCACTACCCAATTATTGTTGAATCCGCCACCTCCGCCACACATTAAAAACCAATTGGCTAAGGAAGCCAAGCGAAAATCGCTGAAAGAGAAGCTGCAAGCGGCTGCCAATCCACGGCGCAAAGACTTACTGCGCACAATCGAACGTTTGCAACCGGGAAAAGCCAAAGGTAATCTTTTGCAGAATCTAAATAAACCTGACGAGCATTTCCCTTTGGGTCCCGTGGCGGCTAAAACGAAAGAAGTGAAAAATGCGTTGATTGTAGACACCGGTGATAATGCGCCCAAACTAAGCCTGGGTACGGTTATAAAAACCGATGACTTTGCCTTGGGGCAATCACATAATTTCATCGACGAATTGGCTAGTAAAACTGAGGCAAAATCAATGAATAACACAGAGAAGGAAGCTGAGGAGAAATCGGGAAAAAGCAGCTCTGCGCTTGAAATAATTTCGCCTTTCACACCAAAAGTGCCAGTAACGGCTGCTGCAGATTCTGAGGTGGCGTCTGAAAAGAAGGCTACTGAAGTGTCTGGCAGCGACTATACGAAACCTTTTGAAAAACTGTTGGAGAATAAATCTGCAGCAAATGCGGATTCGGCCAGCGGTGCAGTCGCAAAGGAAAAACCCAATTTAAGTGCTTGGTTAAAGGCCTTTGGTGTACCAAAGAAAGCTAAAAAATCGGAGGAGGAAGAGAAGCAGCAACAACAACAGTCAGATGCCAATGAATCGGCCTCCAGTGCAGGTGTTGGTTCCAGCTCGACAAAGTCGAATGATGGCGCTGCGTCAGCGTCAATATCCTCGACTGGTGCCACCGCTGCAAGTAGATCTCCCACTTCGACTTCGATTACCGGTGGTGTCGACTTTTCCTTACCATCGGCTCCAAGGCAGCGTAAAGCCAGCACTGGTAGCACCATATCCGAGCGTTCTTCGTTCAGTCAGGACCCCGATTCGCCGCGTATAGCAATCGATGAACGTTACGGCTCCTATGCGGGTGCAAATTACACTTCGCCAATTGGTGCTTCACCAATCGGTGCATCACCGATAATGGTTTCACCGAAACCCGATGAAATTACCAAGCCTACCTCACCCTATCCATTGAATGGCGCTATTAAGGCGGGTTTCTATCAAGACACCACTACTAAAAGCAGTCCTGATAAAAGTTGTAGCCCACGTGAAATGCCTTCACCATATCCTCAATACTCACAACATATATACTCATCGGCTTCATCGCCAAATGTTTCAACACCGGAATTAAGTGGTACATCACCGTATGGTGGTGCAAATAGTTATAATCCATCTGGTTCTGAAGCTTCCAAAACGCCCGTTTACTCATCCACCTCACCACTGCCGAACCTCTACGATCAGTACAAGCAACCACGTTCGCAAGAATCCGATTATAACTCATCGATGAGTCCGAGTACGCCAAACCCAAATTCACCATATCAGCAGCCGCAAAGCTCACCATACACCACGCAGTCGCATCAATCACCATACCACCATCCGAATTCACCGTATCATCAGCAACAGCACTCACCTTTCCACCAACCGACACACAGCAGCCCAGCACACACATCATCCAATGCAACACCTGCATTGCCGGTTGGTGCTACCTCGGTCCACTCGCCTCTGCATCAGCAACCGCATAGCCCTATGACTAGTAGTGTAGATTCTCCTGCTTCGTCTGCTGCCACACAACCGCCTACACCATTGGCACATTCTCCGGCTGATCAACCACATTCGCCCTACCAACAGCCAATGAATTCGCCGTAYCAATCGCAAGTGCCGCAGCCGCAAAATCAACCGACTCAGACACAGCAGCAGCAGCAGCAGCAGCAGCAACAACAGGCGCAGCAAAATGCAAATGCAAATGCACTCTCACCATACAGCCAAAGTAGTATGAGTCCCTCACCATATCAGGCACCTGTCGGCACTCCGGAGTCCTTGAACTTCAATCAAATAACACAAAATGCAGATGTTGGTAAGGTTGCACCGGTGGCTACGTCCGCACCAGCAGCAGAACCGAGTGTTGCGAACAACAATACTAATAATAACAGCAACAACATTGGCTCCAATGTTCCTAGTGCAACGGCGGTGCCGAGTTATGTGCCAACGCCACATGACCTCTATAATGCTTCGTCACAGCCACAGGCGATGATACAACAACAGCAACAACAGCAGCAGCAACAACAACAGCAACAGCAGCAGACGGACAACTTGCGTGCTCTTTACGGCTCCGCACTTAGTTCTGCCGCTGCGTCCATTTTGGATGGTGCAAAGCATACGGATTGGAGCATGGCAGGCGTGCAACAGTTGCAGGGCCAAATGCAGCAACAGCAACAACAAACACATCAGCAGCAACAACAACAGCTTCTGCAGCAGCAGCAGCAGCAGCAGCATAAGCAACAGAATGCTCAACAACAATTGCAACAACAACAACAACAGTTGCAGCAACCACAATCTCTGCAACAGCAGCAATCGCAAACTCTGCAACAGCAACAACCACAAACTCTGCAACAGCAACAACCGCAAACGCAACAACAGCAACCACCAAAGCCGCAATATCCTACTTATGCTCAATATCAGTCGAAAGCAGCTGCTGCAGCCGCCGCTGCTGCCGCTTCCACCAACAAAGAAATGCCCGTTGCAGATAAGACAGATGCCGATAAGCGACAAAACGCCACACTCAGCTACGGTGACAATTCCGCCAACGATATGGTGGCATTTATGCAACACATGCACCAACAAGCGCAGGCACATAAAAACTCAATGACTGCCATATCGACGGCTACGGCCTCCAGTTCGGCGTCTCAAGCCTCGACCACGGCTCCAAGCACTGCGGCGGTGAATTCCACAAACACAAACACCAACTCCCTCAAGCGTACAGCTGAAGACATGCTTGGCATGGATTATAGCGGCACGGGTGCAGGCAGCACAGCCAACAAACTGCAAAAGTGCGACAATAATACCGGCTTGCAACAGCAAGTGTCGCAGTTGTCAACGCAGATTAGCAAACAACAACAAATGTTCGACAGCTTTTTGGGCGCCATGCCGTTTGGCAAGCACTTAGGCAGTATTACGCCGGATAAGGCGTTCGAAATGTATAATCGTGCGGCATCGATGGGGTTTCCCAAAGATTATGCAAAGGATAATAGCTGTCAAATGCAACAACAGCAGCAGCAACATCATCAACAACAACAACAATCACATCAGCAATCAAATTCTGCTAGCAGCCAACAGCAACCGCAGCACCACCAGCAGTTGCAACAGCAGAAGCAGGCTCAACAATTACAACAACAATCACACAATCAGCTGCAACATGGTCAACAGCAACAGCAGAGCCAGCACCATCAACAGTTGCAACATAATCAGCATGCGCAACAGCAGCAAAGCCAAACCCAACATTTATCCAAGTCGGGCATGGAAAGTATAACAGCCAGTTTGCTAAATAAACCCTTAAATTATGGGGCGAGTAGTTTACAGCAGCAACAACAGCAGTTAGGCCGTGCTCAGCAAATAAATCAGAGTTATTCAGCACAGGCGCAGCAATCGCAAGCATCACAGCCACAACAACAACAGCAGCAACATAATACGCAGCAACATAATACGCAGCACCAACAGTTGTCTGCTAAAACGGCTGCATCCACCGCGTCAGCGTCGGTTCCGGGAACAACGCTTGACGCCAGCAACATGCTGAACATGTCCAGCCACCATTTGACGCATCACCTTTCGGCCTATAACAAGCCGACGCCACCGCCACCACCAACGCAGACGTACAGCAATCCGGCTGCCTCATTGCTGCATCCTTTGGCCGAGAGTTTATTCGGCTTGTCGTCGGCCAGCGCCGGTTTTTACGACAAAAATATGCCGCCAGCGGCTCACATGTACAATGCAGCGGGTGGCGCGAAAAATCTCACAACTTCGCAGCTGTACTCGAACCCTGCGTCCATCGCGGCCATGAGTGCGAGCGCCGCCAGTATGTACGGCAATCCGCAGCAACTTTCGGCTGCTGCGGCGGCGTCCAATACGTACGGTGTGCCGAACACCAATTCCAGTTGCAGTAACAATTCCGGCAATCAGCAGCAACAGAGTGCAACTGCTGTCGCAGAGGCTGCCAAGCCGGTGGCGCCCGTAGTGCAGGCGCCAGCCAAGCGTGGGCGCAAAAAGAAGGCGTCAACGATTGCCGCAGAGGCGGCAGCGGCAGCTACAGCAGCTGCTAAACTTCAGCAGCAACAACAACAACAGCAGCAGCAACAGCAACAACAGCAGTTGCAGCAACGCCAGCAGCAGCAACAACAGCAATTGCAGCAACAACAGCAACATCAGCAGCACCAACAACAACAGCATCAGCAACAGATGACGCAAAATCACCTGCACGCCTCCCAATACAACACAGCGGCGGCACATATGTCGCAATTGTCCAGCACCGCTTCCATAGCTTCAGCACAGCCTGCCCACCAAAGTTCCAGCGGAGTGCCTGCACATTTGCAAGCGCACGCGCAAGCACTCCAACAAGGTTTTCCACTCTACGCTGGCCTAAAAACCGGTGGCGTTGGTTCACCGCTTGCCACGTCTGGCACTTCCAATTCCGCCGCGGCAGCTGCTACTGGCCAATCAGCCGCCCACAGCACTGCAACTGCGTCTGCAGCCTCAAATGTGTCCGCTGCCGGTGGCGTTGATGTGGCGACGGCAATTTCGCTGAAGACATCCGCCGCGGAAGTCACCGGCATGGTGCCGGGTAGCGCTTTCAATTTCGGTCCCACACCCGGCACACTCGGTTTATACGGCGATCAGGCGGCAGCAGCTGCGGCCAGCAGCTATCTAGACCAATTCAGAGACGCATCAAATCCATACTATATGCCAACTGCGCCGGCGCCAGCTCATCGCAATTCGACTAGTGATGCTAGTGCTGCGGAGAAAGCGCAATCAGCACTCAATTCAGGCGCCACAGCAGCGAGCGTATATCCATTCTTGACAGCGCACACAACACCACGTGCCACACCCTACTCATTCATGCATAATACGGGCGCCTCACAATTGGCCGACCCCAATTCTCAGTTATATTCGTCATATTTGCGGCGCGAGGACTTTCTCATGTTCAATCAAGGTCTATTGGGACGTGGTGCTGGTGCGGCTGGCTATGGACAGCCACCGCCGCCAACTGCATACCGGCCATCCTCGTTGGGTATGCCCAAGCCTTATGACATCAATCGTTCGTGGTTTTAGCAGTGTGCCAACAACACCGCCCAAGACGACATAGCTGGACAGTTGACGAACGCAGCGGCAGCAGCAGCAACAATGCCAGGCGTAGAAGGCGCATCCAGCAATGGCAATGTAATGGGCGGACAACAACAACAGCAGCCGCAGTTGGAGCACCAGCATCAGCAGTTGCAGCCGCATCAGTTGTGAAGCATATTGCCAACGACGCTGGCGTGGCTAAGATCAGCAACAACCCGCGTGCATTATTACGCTACAAAACTAAGTGTTGTTGTTGTGTGTATGCACATATGTGTGTTTAGCACCGTATGCTTTGCTAACATGCCAACTATCATTACCTTAGGTGCAGCTTTAGTAGTTCTACGACAAGAATATATCAACATTAAGTCGATATGAATAGTGTAAAGGGAGTGTAAGCTTTGTTGAAGTGTTAACAACTTCGTTTCATATATATATATATACTACATTTATGTCTAACATATTGCAATTAGATTAGAGCAAATGCAAAAGCGTTCTATTAGTTTAGTACATATGTTTATAATTAAGCACAAAGTCTATTTATGCTTTTCTGTAGGTAAGTGTTGACCGGCCGCCCAGTCGTCAACGAAAATATTGTTATACTATGGTTCCATTTGGGATTTGATAAGTTGGTGAATTACTATTGCGTAGTTAAGTTTACTATTATGTAAAATGTTGCTTATATTTAAAGTGAATAGAAATTCTCGTTTTACGCTATGCGCTGACTCTATAAGACATGTAAGTGTGTGTGAAGCATTATATTAATGATTAATTTTAAACACTCGTATAAGTATGCTATAAGAGCATATATAGCATAGTCATTTAAGTTTCAATACACTGTTGTAACAGTAAGTTTTTAAATTTGTATATAAATACATATGTAAAGTGTAAAGATATATACATACAGACACAAGATTTTATTTAACAATATGTAAGTGAAAAAATTCTACGCATATACTATGTATTAAGCTAACAGGAGATTAAGCAAAGCAAAATATCACTATCACTATCACTACATATATCTTATGATTCCTTCATTATGCGCTAGTTTCTTCTCATTCAATATTTGTATAGCTTTAAATGTAGGCAGGAACTTTGAAATAAATGTAACGACTTATTTCACAATTTAATAGGTTTCATTTAATTGCATATTCATGTATGACAGTGTGACAACGAATTGAAATAGCTTTCGCCGCTGTTTGACATGGTCCTGTGGATGCTTTGTAATTTGTGAATGTCAGCATTCGTTGCGTTTATATAGTTTGGTTGGTTGGTTTTAAGCATAATTTCAAAAAAAAAAAATAAAATAAAAAATAAAAAAAAAAATTAACAAATAAAAAAATAAAAATTATTACCAAAAAATAAAATGAAATAAGCAGCAGAGTGCAAGTAAAGTTGGTTTAGTGTTTATGTCACTCGCTTTGTTAGCTAGCTAAATATTCTGCGTTCAGTATTCTGTTTGCTGCAACATTACGACGTTACACGCTTACCAAAAATTTAATAATTGAAAAAGCAAAAGCCATTGCTAAAAAAAAAAACAGATCAACATTTTTAGTTTGAACAAATGTTAAGGGGGTATTGTAGTCTTTAAATAAAGAAAATCAAATTTTCTAAATTTAGTTTCGATTAGTCAGAAATGTTTCTAGAAATTTTCAAAATTAAAAAAATTATTATTTCAGAGATATAGATAAATCTAACTATTCAAACAAATTTCTACAAAAGGATTTTTTAAAATTCACATTCTTTTCGGAGATATAGATATTATTTCGGAGATATGGGTATTACATCGGAGAAATGTAGATATCATATCGGAGACATTCTTATATAACTATAAGAAGATGTAGAAATACGCGAAACTTTAAACGCGTTTTTCTGTTATTACTATTTTTTTGTATCAAAATTAAATGATAACCACGATTTCTCAGTTTCTACTCGATCAATTTTCCTCAAAGTTTTAAAGAGTCTGCTTTAGAGACTTGCTTATGTCTTTAACTATCCATATACCCAAATTAAAAACTTTCCAATTTTTTTTAAATTGTCCAATTTTATTTTGAATTTTTCATTTTTTTAATTTTCCATGTTTTTTATTTTTAAA